CCCCAGTTGTCCCGAATGACGTGAGTGGAGCCGTTATCTGGGTATTTCAGCATACTGTCACACAGATCCATTATATGCTGTTTATACGAGATTAATAAGTGATTAATTTGTTGGTGGAAGGTCAAGTGGGTAAGGGATATGCTCCATTGTAGCCTTCTGAAGGTGTCCTCTTCCATTTCATGTGACAGGGTGAGCCGCGCATCTCCATACCCCTGCCAATCATGTCTGGGCCCTTTATAAACTGGTGATAAATGCAATATGAAATAAAGCCTGGCAGCTGTGCTTGGCAGCAGACTGAACTTGTTGACAGTCCTAGGCCATGTTCTGCACCGATATTGTATCTGGCACTGTGACAAGGTAATGGAGGCTGCAATGGATTATGTGGGAAGGTGAAAGTCCCTTGCATAGGTTTCTGGCATCTCCCTTTCCCCTAACCTCAAGAGAGAGGCCAATGGGATGGCTGCCGAGGGATGCAGGTCACCCTTCCCAGTTCTTCTCTAGTTCATGCAGCCCCATCTCTTGCGGGTGGTATTTTCAGCAGCGGTAGACGCTGTTGCTTTTGCAGGTGATGGGGCAATATATCCTCTGGGAAGCAGCAGCCGTCATGCTAGGGGTTGCACATGGCTCCTCCTAAACCTTGTTCCCAAAACCTCTTCCCTCGTGAACCCTGGCTCTGCAGAGGCAGCCTGCCCGACAGAGGCAGCAACCAAAGTCAACACTGTCCTGGCCCAGTACCCCGGCGAGCTCAGGAGACAGGAATGTCCAATGTGCTGGTAGAGGGTTCCTGGGTTTTTCTGGCGCAGGTCTGCAAAGCCCAAAGCCTCTGGGAGGCATTTCATTTTCCTTTCTGGAATTAGCTTTAGTGCTGAAGGTTGGATTTGGGCCAGCAAAGCTTCCTTTGAGCCGTTGGCCGTGCAAATGACTCCTCGAGTCTGCAGCGTTTCCCTTAAACACAGCTCATCTGGTGCCAGAAATTTCCCTTGCCTGAATATTATAATCTCCTCAAGTGCCGGTGAGGAATTGCCCAAAGGAAACGTGACCTTTCCAGCAATGCTGGCTTGTCTGGAGCGGGCATTCGTGGCCATGTGGAACAGTGCAACCAGAGTGTGGGTGCTTGTATTGTTCTGCAGGAGGAGGTGTTTTGTAGGGCAAATGGAAATAAAACCTCTCCCTTGGCTGGGGGTCTGGAGAGGGGTGAAGTCAAGAGCTGGATCTGAAATGGGCAGCCAGCCCCAGTCAGAGCAGAAGTCTGAGCATCCCAGACGCTTGGCAAGCTGCAACTCCGTGGCCAAAGCTGAACCGAGGTGCTTTCCGCCTGTCCTTAGACCTGCCAGATCTCCTCACGTCCTCAGGAAGAGATAAACCCCTTCCACAAAGAGTGTTTTGCCCCAAACTAAGACCTCCAAAAGCTGTTGGCAGAGATGTAGGGACTGCATAAGAGAAAAGATAAGGCCCTGTAATGAGGTCTTAGTGGATCAAGCCTTGCCGCAGCTTCTGGCTGCTGGGACAACAAAGTGGTCTTTCTACCCTTCCTCCCTCCCTTCTCCAGTCCCCCTAATGTTTACGTGAGGGGGGAATTTCCTTTCACCTCACATGAAAATCCCTCTATAAAGGCAGGTGACTGGATGCAGGATTGTAGCATGCTGTAGCTCATCTTGCAAGTCTTCAAGCTTCAAGTCTTGCTTTCCATTTCCCCATCCTGTGTTGGGTGAAATGGAGAGCTCTCAGTCCCACCAGCAGCTATGAGCCTGCTTCTTCCCAAAATTTCCCCAGCTTGGGACCGACCTGGGAAAGTGCTGGCTAGAGGTCAAGGCAGCGGTACATGGTATCAGCCCAATCCTGAAGTGCTGGGTAATTATTTCTAGAAATGGGAAAGATGGTTGTGCAATACCACTGTGGGCTGAGCACGTTGAGTTACCACATGTGATTGTGAGCAATTAGAGCAAACGGGAGACCATGGCCCCTTCTTAGAAAACGGAACCGTTTGGAAATTAAATCTTTCCACCTTTTTGCTTTGAAAGGCAATTTAACAGCTGACCCCCTCCTCGCACTTGGGCTTGTCCAAATTGGAATGGCACATTCTGTCTGCAGTCCAACAAACCCCTATAGCTGACTGAAACGCAAGGACTTTGGCAAGGTTTAGTTTCTCATTTGTTTGGGGTTTTTTTGTTTGTTTTTCACTGAAGACAAATATTTGTGTGCTAGGTCAGTCAAAAAGGAATCGTCCTTTTTCCTCTGCTTGTCGGTGTGACTACTGAACCTCAAAGCGTCACTTATTAAACCTTGCCCTGCTGCCAGCCTGTTTGAGTGTGAGAGAGAGCTCTGAATCCGCTAATAAACTGGTTTTAGGTGTTTGCTGGAGGGTGCTGATATTTCTGAACCCAGGGTGGGTGGGGGCTTGCTGGGGGCTCTATCAGCAGCCCTTATTGCTGAGAGGAGCAGGCAGGGAGCTCCCAGCATTGCAGCCCCACCATGATGCTCAGTGTGTCTGAGCCGCATCCCAGCACGGCGGCGGGCAGCTTGGAGGCAGGTTCGCTCTGTGGCAAAGGGAGCTGGGAAAGATGTTTCCCTGCTTTTGCAGAAAAATCCTTCTCCCCAAAACGGTCGCCCCCGGCTCTGTCCTCAGCCTGTTCCGAGGATGCAGGGACAGAATAGCGAGCCGGTGAGGTCATGGGGAGAGAGTTAGTCACATCCAACTGGGAAAGGGAGAGGGCTGCCAACCAACGTTGCTCTCACACCATGGAAGGCTCGCATGGTTCGGAGGGGACAGGAGCCAGGGGTTGGTGCAGCGCTGCCTCTGCAGCGGCTTCCCGAGGAGCTGGGGGAGGGGTTGGAGGAAATAAATCGAAATCTAATTTGTTCTGGCATAAACATGGACCTTGCTTCTTGTAACTGGGGCGATATGGGTGAGAGGGGGTTAAGAGCCTTTCCAAATCGGAGACTATCTGGAGCTGTCACACAAGGGAGGGAGATCATGGCAGAGTTTAATGAATGACTTCATTTATATATTAAAAAAAACCCAACACAACAACATGGTGGCTTCCTGCCAGGCCCACAGACAAGGGTTTCTATGGGAACCTGGGGGAAAACAATAAATAGGAGTGTGGGATGAGTAGGGAAGGGAGGAGGGGAGCCCGGACTTCGGTCTGGGTCCGCTTTTTTCCCCATAGAGAGAGCAAGGTGGCAAGGGGCGATGAGGGGGGAGAAGGGGAAAGAGTGGCTGAATTTGCTGCTTGCAAAAAGACCCCACCCAAAATAAGGCAGGTAGTAATTACACCGTGGCAAAGCGGTCTCTCGGCCTAGTCCTGGTATGTGCTTCATTCCCTGCTCCCCCATGGGCTCAGCAGGGATGGGGGACCTGTCTCCATCTGGCTCTGCATCCTGGCTCTGCTGCCTCAGGGGAGGTGGGTGTTCGGGTGGGCAGGGATGCGGGGTGACCCCCAGGTTCCTGCCAGGGTGGTGGTGGGACCACTCCGCAAAGGGATGCTACTGGGGCTAAGCTCGGCAGTCCTGCCAGGACTGCCGAGTAAAATAGGCTCTGAGTGAGTCTCCGCTGGAAAGGTTGACAAGGTTCATAGTGTAATTAGAAAAGCCAAATTTTTCTTTAACAAAATGTCTCCATTAATCCCAACATTTTTTTTTCCTCTTTCCTTTGCTGTGAGGGGGGGAGATCTGTCGTGACCCTCAAATGAAAACAGCATCTTGGTGAGGCCCTCTCATATGGTTCATAGTCCAGGCTGTGGGCAAAGCTGGGCAGGCTGGCAGAGTGGCACTTCTGGGGTCAGCTGAAACCTGCCCCTTGTTCACTCAAACTGGGCTGAGACAAGTCTCAACTAAGGCATTTTTGTTTTCTTTCTTTCTTTCTTTTCCTTTCCACAAGCTCTTTGCCCCAGTCAGAACTGATACTACACCTTATCTCCTACTGATCAGGTTCATCTTATGGGGACTGCAGTCCTCACGGTGTGCCCGAAGGAGTGGGAGGCGCAGGTTGAGCTGGGTCTTGCTGCTCACAGGAGAACACCTTCCCAACACCCGTGTGCGTGCCTTGCACAAGAGCATTTCTGTAAACACCAGGGGAAACAGCCTTCATGGTCTGTTTTGGACCTGGCCGAGCCAAGCATCTGCCCCAGCATCAGCCCCGGGTACCACGAGTTAGACCTGCCCTGCTCCAGCTGCCATCACGGGCCCTTTGGGTGAGCGGTGACCGTGCTGTGGCGGTGTGTCCCTTTCTGCCTGCATCCCAGCTGGTGCCACTAGCGGTGGAGTGGGAGCCGATCCTGCGTGGGGACCAGCATTATTGCTGGAGGAGGAATATGGCAGCTGTCTTATCACTTCCTTGGGGACGTGAGAGGCCGTTCTGCTGACAGAGGTGTTATTATCCGCTGGCTGAGATGTCTGGGAGAAGCCAGGGCAGGTTTTTCTTCTCTGCAGGGGAGGAAGGAAGCTGGGCAGGACAGAGCAGGACACAGCCACTGCCCTCCACCACTGTTCCTTCTGCTCCTGGTCAGGCAGGAACAGGTCAACGGCTTAAGAAAACTGACCCCCAGGGTGCAGATCTTGCCCTCCTTGGGCCAAAGCTTGAGGTGGGGGTGTGGGATTTCTTGCAGCACTCCAAGACCCTTTACAAACCCCTCCTGGGGTGCAAAGCTGCTATGCAGGGAATGGTGCTTCTCAGTGGGCTTCCAGCCCACAGGAAGGTGGCTGGTCTGGGAGGAGCGGGATACGCACCACATCTTCCTCAGGGTTGGGAAAGGCTCTCCTGCACCCCTCTCCCAGTCCGTGTGTCCCACCTTTTCCTTGCACATCAGTTGGTCCTGCTGCAGAGCCATGCTGATGGAGGCAGGGATGCTGCTTTGAGGAGCGCTGCTCATGGTGGGAGCGTTCCTCTGCAGGAGCCCCCTGCTTGCCGGGGGGAGCCCAGGCACCTCGAGGGATTATTGCCAGGTTTCACAGGCACTGCCCAACGGCGTTAAGGATGGATTTTCCCTCTGGCTTGGCAGGCTGACAGCGCAGTGGAGCGTGGAAGACGAGGAGGAGGCGGCAAGAGAGCGGCGGCGGCGGGAGCGGGAGAAGCAGTTGAGGTCCCAGGCCGAAGAGGGCTTGAACAGCACCGTCTCCTGCTCAGAGAGTGTGGGTCCGGCACAGGAAAACCAGTAAGAAATACCCATGGATAAATCCTTCAGTGACACAGTCTCTCCTTGCAGCAAAACCCTCCTACATCCACAGAGTGGGTGTCTCTGTTGTTTGGGGTGGTTTGGGGAGATGGGGAAGTTCCCTAATAGGTATGGGTTGGGGGATTTAGCCCAGATTAACAAATAGTGTGTTTCTAGCTTGGGCAGAAAAAGCCAGAATCCCTGCTTTGCTCTTTTTTTTTGGCTGGTGGCTGGGTGTTCTACTGCCCTGAGAGTTTAAACTAGGTCAGCTTGGGTAAGACTGAGCTCAGGCAGGGAGTCCCCATCACCAGGGATTTCAGTGCTGGGTTAAATTTCAGCTTGTGAATCATCCTACGCTGAAACTGATGGAAGTTCCTGATACGTGCGAAGACAGACACGTGCCTGAGGATGTGATGCACAACCCTGGGCAGATCATGGTGCTGGCGGCCAAGCAAGTGATCACCTCTCCTGGCTGGGCTCCTTGCTCTTTCCTTGGAGGATGCTGCCCTGGCAGTGGGGAGCATGGAGCAGCTCCTGAGTTGGTGCAGTTCACAGCTCCAAGGGTTAAAGTTTAACTTGATGCTTTAATGGAGCAGGTCCTAAATGGAAGTAGCTCAGGAGGCATTTATGGAGAATCTGAGCTATCTGCTGTCAGTGAGGAAACCCCTGGAGAAGAGATAGGATGACCAGTCATGTCCCCAGCATCCCACCACTGCATCCCACTGCAGCCTCCCTGTGTCCCCGGCACAGCAGCCCAAGTGCAGTGCGGCACTGAGGCTGGCACAAAAAACAGTCTGTGCTCTGCGTTGCCAAACTCTGTCTTGAAGACCCCAGTCTTCCCACTATTCATGTGTTCAACTTATTTCTAAATATATTAAACACAATGGAAAAGTGGCGGCAGGATTTGGGATTTTGGTCAGAGAGAAGCAGCAGCTTCATTTTACTGGAAAACAGCAAAAGCTGTTTATAAAAATCTACTTTCAAAATTATTCAGGACTCTTTTTTTTTTTTTGTCTAAAAATGTTGCAAAGAAGCTTAAAATTTTTTTGTAGAAATACACCCAGTGACATTCTGCAGACAAAACCACTGCAGTCTGCCCTAAAAGTAAACAGAAGCTCTAGAAAGTAATAATAATAATCATTAGCTTTTCCAAACCCCTCTTCACACAGGGGCTGGAAAATAATTTGTAAAGGTCTTTAAAATGGCAGACAAGATCTCCGGTCTCTGCTTTACCGGGAGATGCTGTGAGTGGCCTTGGGCACAGAGCAGCGTGCTGCAGCCCCAGTAACGTAGCTTGTAGGCTCCGGTCCTGTGGGCATAGGCACAGACACGCTGCTGGCCCCATGGGACCGTTGGCATTGCCGAAATTTAATTGAGTGCTTAAGCATCTGTGAAGGGAGCCGTGACAAGCAGAACAACTCCTAAAATGAGGCGTTTTGGTCCCCACTCCATGATGCTTGATCTTGCTGGGCCAGGCTTCACCAGAAGGATGTTTCTTCTCTGGCCATCCCCTGGTTTCTTCTGCAGCTGCTGACGGCCACCTGGGCTTGCTCATGCAGCCCGGGTCAGCCCTGGCTATTAATCTTCTGCAAAGCTTTGCTGTCTCTTGTGTAAACACTGTCCGCTCCTTCCCTCAGCTCTTCCCACGCTGGGATTCATCCCATCCATGTTACTCCTGTTTGTGCAAACCCACCCTCGGCATTTCCTTGCACCAAAGGGACAGAGTGAAGTTCCTCTCCTCCCTTCCCCCCCACTAAAAAAAAAGAGAAATAACCTGCAAAACAGCAGGTTTGCAGGAAAGACATATGTGGCCTTGGGACCCAGAGGGATGGACATCAGCTTAAGCGGTGCTGATGGGGCTGTGCTGGCTTGGTGCTTCCCCTGGGGCCATGTTTGCAGAGGGGCACAGGGAAGTGACCAGTTTTCAAACACATTCGGCCGGTCTCCCTTGCTCCCGGGGAGCTTTTCTGGTAGCCTGAGCACATGTTTGTGGCCAGGGCCACAAATACTGGAGCAATTCTGCCTTGGGCATCATCAACGCTGCAGCTCGCCTGAAGCCTTGACCAGGGACTCAGCAGATCCATAGTCCCATCCTGGCTCCACATCAGATTTCCTGAGTGTTATCCTGGGGCATCCACAAACTACTGCTACACATGCAGTGGAAAATAACCCAGCCTGGGCTGCAGTGTCCTAGACCTACATGGCATCACTGCTCGGCAGTCTAAGGGGATGCTGAAGTGCGGCAGGAGCTGGGCTGTGCTCAAACTCGTGGCTGAGCAGCCGTTTTTGGTGCACACCGCCTGCTACCCTCCCTGGTGAGGGCACGTGTTTTTTGTAAACCCTCAGCTCTTGCAGTCAGTTCAAAATGAGACTCCCAAATCTCAGAGAAATGCCCTATATTTCAAGCCACTGGAGGCTAAGCATCTCATGACACCTCCTAAGAGCCCAGAAAGGCAAAGAAAAGACTCACCCACATTTATTATGTATTTTGATCCTCTGAGTTTTAAACTAATCTGTGAGTCCTGCATCCTAATTCCCATTCCCAGGTGATGTGACAGCCCTGCGTCCCAAAACCACCTATGAAGCCACCTCCTCAGGCCAATGCCTGCAACGTGGCTGCCCACCCAGGACCCCCAGCCAGGAGGCTAGTCTCCTTGTGAACGCAGGGAAAGAAATAGGAAAAACCCAACAAGCCCCATGCAAGGCCAGTCCGCATCTGGCGCCAGCAGCTGTGTGCTCTGGGAGGGCTGCGGCTCTGTACAGCAGTAGAGTATTCACAGGCAGGGAGCCAGAGTCATGCAAGTGCATGTGACTGGCTCAAAGCTGGACGGGAATGTGAGGATCCAACCCAGAACTTGAGCCAGTGTCCTAATCTCTGGGTCTTCATGCCTTCCTCATCCAGCGATCTGTTCAGGCCAGCTCCTGCTGATGTCTTTTCTATGGGGACAAGCAGCAACCGAGTTTGAAACACCTCTGGTCCAAACAAGCTAGGGCCAGCTCCGGTGCAGAAGAAAACCAGGGACTTTTTGGTTTTGTTGTGCTGCTTGTCTTTTGCTCGCCTGTGCATGGTCCCAGAGACCAGGCAGGCAGCAGGGTGCTCCTGCTAGAGACATGGAGCTGCTCCTTCATCTTGCAGTGATGCCCCAAGAGACCCCCTCTGTACAAGGGTGCTCCTAAGCTCATGGCAAAGGTGTCTTTCCTGTAATGGAGAACAAGGCTTCAAGGGGGATTTGGGAGCAGCTGGAGGAAAGAAGATGCAATAGCTGGAGGGAGAGAAGGGCAGTATCAAGCTGGGGCTCTTTCAGGTCAGGTTTGGGTCTTTTTAGCATCTCATTCTAATTTTCCTTCTTGCTGTGTTTCAGCTATGACTTTAAGCCATCCGGGACTTCAGAGCTGGAGGAGGATGAGGGGTTCAGTGACTGGTCCCAGAAGCTCGAGCAGCGCAAACAGAGGTGGGTATGACACAGCCAGACCGAGGGGAGGGGAACCAACATGCCCAACAAAAGGATAGTCCCTGAGGAGGGGTGACCAAGCCCAGGTCAAGCCTAGCATGCATAAGAAAAAGGCCAGAGGCTGGAGCATCAGCAGGACAGCACGGGCCCCGCACGGCTGGGACGGATGCTCTTCACCTGCCATTTGGGCTAGTGGGGAGGAACAGGCTCAGGGACTGCCCCAGGCTTTGGGGATGTTTGGATTGAGGTTTGCACTCCAAGCAATGGCAGCCTGCCAGGACGCCTGGGTTTGGAGGAGTGACAACAGTGGATTTAAGCCACCTGAGCTGCTGCAGGGGTTGAAATGGCCCCTAACATAATCCAGGCCAGCCTAAAAAGCTGTTCTAAGTTATTGCTGCTTCCTGGCTCATGTCAGCATAGTGGGTGTTGTGGCCTCACCCCACCTTGTGCTTGACTCCTCTTTCAGCAGGGGAAAACAGGCAGCAAAGAGCCCCAAGAGGTGCTTGTGTGCCAGCTGTTTAGTCCCCATTCCCATCACTCTCCCCTTGCTGAGCTGAACCAAACTCCTGCCTTAACTACTTCCCTTGGATACCATCAACCTGCATGTGAACTCTGTGACTCAGCTGTCTCGGCAGCTTGATTTTATAGGGAATTTTGCCCCTGTGATGACATAGCCTCTTCTTTATCCCCAAGACTGAAATAATGCCTAAGATTAATATTTACTGATGAACAAATAAATAGAGCTTGCCTTTTTCTTACCTTTTTCCAAACACTGTAGCTAAATCACTCTGCAAGCTGTACCTTTTCAGCCCTGACCCCATAAGCATCACTCAAGCACCTCACCATGGTGTTGATTATCACATCTGTGGGAGCAATTAGAAGTCAGCCCCATCTGCTTCTCAGCATGCTGCCTTTTTTTCCGCCTCCCTTGCGAAGAGCTTGTCCGGAGAGAAAGGCTGCTGCTATTCCCTCCTTGGCCTTCAAAAGAGAATTAGCTGGAAGGGTTGTGTTAGCCTCTCCAGGAATTGCTCCTTGGATTTTTTATGTGATGCTTGTGTTTACTCTGTAGTGGGTCAGGAGGGTGCTGAGCAGGGGAGGTGGCATCCATAGCAGGTGAAGCCTATCAGAGAGGGGTGCTGCTTTAAAGGCAGTGGCTGGAGGTGAGCAGGCTTTTGGCTGGAGGCTGGTTGGGAGAGGCAGCTGAAGGTGCTCAGATGCTGTGGGCTTCCTGGGAGAGGGCTTTTTGCAGAAGCTAGGCTTCCTTCCTTCCTAGCAGGTGGCTGTGCCCTATAAAGTCCCTTCAGCAGCTTTGCCCTTACTCATCTGCCTCACCCAAAGGACAGGCTTGGAGTGAGCACAGGTAGGCTGGGTGTCTGGCTGCGATGCCCGACGCTGGAACAAAGCAGTGCTGTGGCCAGGGTTTTCCAACTCCCCTCTCTCCTGCTTAATTGAATATGGAGCAAACCCTGTTTTTTCATGTGAAGGATGTCTAGGTGATGGCTACAAATGAGGGGACAGGGAGAGTTACTCTCCATTGGATGGTAGCTAAGACAGCTTGTGTGTCCCTGGAGGGCCTTAGTGCTAAGGTGCGTTTTCTTTTTGGTTCTGGTTCCCCACTTTGTGGGGGGAGATCCATGCTATCAGCTGCATGCAAGAGGGTGGGAGCTGTGTCAGACTAGCTGCCTCCCATACAAAATTGCTGGGGTGCAAAAGGCATCCTATAGACTGCATTGTATCTGCTGGCCTTAATTTTTACTATGAGCTTGTACTTTAGCTGGAGGCATTGCTGGCATCCTGGGTAAGAGAAACTAGTTATCTGGGGCCTCAGGGCCTATTTGCTGTTGATGACTGCGCTGTTGTGGGAGTATGATTAGTAGCAAGCCAAGCGAGCCAGGAGATGCATCAGCTTTTTCCCCATGTGGTCAGTGAGGAGGGCTGGACGGTGGCTGTCCTGTGAGCTGCCTTCCTAGCAGTAGAGAGGTGGGTGGAAGAGTCTTGTTTGAACTTTTTTTTCATGTTTCTGTGCTGGCTGGTGAGTCAGCCTTGCACTTTGGCAGCTGCCTGCTAGCCAGCTCTCTAGCCTTGCTGTCACAAGCCGGGTGATTTTCTAAGAAATGGATGGGAGGAGAAAGCTATTCTTTGGCTGGGGAAAGTAAGATGACAATAGCATCTTGGTGCATGGCTGTGAGCTAGTGGGAGCTCTGGGGTTACGTGCTCCCACTGACTCTGTACCCAAAGGCATGGGCTGCTCTGCTTTTGCAAAGCTGATTGCTTAAACAATCTGGGTCTCCTCTCTGCAGCCTCAGAGACCTGGAGGGATCCTCTTGTACAAAGCCCATTGTGGCTTTTTAAACCTAAGCCAAGGGGTGACCCTGGCTGCTTTGGGACTCCTTTGTTTTGCTGGGCTGTGACATGAGTAAAGGTGTCATTTATTCCAGTGGGCAAAGCTGAGGCTTGGGGTCAGGTGTAGATATAGTGTTGCTTGTGAAGCACTGTGCCTTGGAAACAAAAAAAAACCCTGTGTGAGTGGCTGTGTAGGCTTGCCCTGCAGTTTAGCTTCAGCTAGGGGAAAGGGGAATCTTGGGAAGCATGTTCATGTGTTGTTGGTCGCTTCCCTCTCCAGCAAGAGGCTCTGTTAACATGGAAGATGAGTGTAGGCATAGGAAGGCTGCGTTTGGTGCTGGGAACTGTGGGGCAGTATCAGATCTGTGTTTGTGCACCAGGACCACAGAGCGCACTGGCTCACCTGGGATTCGGGCTGTATCTGAGCAGAGAACTGAGCCAGCACCCCATCACAGTAGTAGTGTCCTCTCTGCCTGGGGTCTGAGTGGAGTTCTGATCTCTGTTTTCCTGTGGGTCTTGCCTGCGGTGAGGCTGGAAACATGCAGATACCTTCAGCTCTGCCACAACTCTTGGTTGAGCTGCGTCTCGGACATTCAAAGAGTGAAAGTGTGATGTGACTGCTGTCACGTCTGGGTGCCCAGAACTGGATGGGACCATGAAGTGGCTGTGAGCCCTGGTGTAAAACACCCAGCAAGTTGTAGGCTTGGGGGAGTGATAAATTCGTATTTCTAGAGGTCTGAGGCACCTGATAAGTGTCTGTAGGCTCATAACAATGTGTTTTGCTTCTTCGACCTCTCTCCTCCACCTCTAGGTCTCCACGACAGTCATATGAAGAAGAGGACGGTGGTGTGAGGGAAGCTGAAGTCAAACTGGAGCAGATCCAGCTGGATCAGGAAAGCCCGGAGGAGGTCCAGGAGGAGAATGTGGTTATCAGGGAGGAAGAGAGGCTGTGCCAGGAGGAAGAACAGCTCCAAGACCAGGAGGAAGAGGAGAGAGCCGAGCAAGAGGTGGGATCAGGAGGAGCTGACCACCTCCTCTTCCCAGGGCTGGTGGCAGAGCTGGGGCTGGGGGCTGCTCTCCAAGAACTCAGCTCACCATTGCTGCTAACACTGCTGGGTGTTTTGCTCACACAGGCATGCTTTCACGGCATAACTGGGGGCTGGTGCCACTCTTGCCTATGTGCATTCTTGGGGTCACTGCAGGCAGCCTCTGCCCTCTTGCAAGGGTGGTGTGTTTGCTGCCAGTGTTTGTGGTGGTTTAGTTGTGTCCTTGCAATACTTAGAAGGAAAGTGCTACCATTTCTCCTGTGGTTTTGTGGGCAGTGAGTAGCTCTTCAGGAAAACTCAAATCTAAACTTTACTGCTTGTTTTTCTCTTCCCAGCCTTTACTGCATCTTTGGAGCACTCTGGCTTGATGCATCTCTAAATCTTGCATTGCTCCCGGCTGAGGTTTTCTTTCTTTGCTTTTCTGACGAGGTGTAATTCCTGGTTAATGAGAGAGACAAAGCTGGAACTTGAGTGGTGGTGCAAGTCTGTTAGGGTGGCTGAGCTTCAAATATCTGTTGTTGTAAATGGATTTTGACTTGCTGAGGCTAGTATGCTTTTTGCATTTGAACTGTGTGTGTGTCTCTAGCCCTTTATTCTGAAGGCAGCTGTTCTCTCTCCTTGTGGCCTCTAAATGAGAATTTCATGTTTTCCTATCTCAATAGTGGTAAGAAATCTTTATTAACTGATGCAAGGACCCCTTTTGATATCATTTTGGAACCTTGAATCTGCAAAATTTCTCTGATTCCTCCCCCACCCCCAAATGACACATGAGCTTCTTCCTGGATGTTTCAAAATTAGATGATGTGAACGAAAAAGTTTCTGTGCTCACGTGTTTGTTTAGTGTGATGCAGGAAGCCTGGAAAACAGGGGAAAAATCACTTTTGTTGCATAGTAAGCAGTTTGACCAGCTCATTTCCTGGCTTGTTAATTTTCTGCATTCAGGAAAAGAAGAGAAGAAGAAATGAAGAAGAAGAAGAAACACCAGAAAAACGCCAGAAGGCCCCAAGCCCTGCCAGCCTGGAAGAAGAAGAGCTGTGTTCTGACCACACCGCCATGTGCTCCACAAAGGTTTGTGTTCCTCGGGCCCCTCTAGAGGCATGGTAGCTATTGCAATAGAGCATCTAATGATGAGGAAAGATGATCCAGGGCTTATGGTAATGTAGGGTGTGAATCCTGTTATTCCACTCCTGCTACAGGCTGGGACAAATCACTTGATCTGTTTCCCTCATCTTCCTTGGTTGTCAACCTCCTCTCCTCCTTCTTTGCCTGCTTGAGCTGTTGGAGGCCATAACTGTCTCTGTGTATACTTTGCCAATCACCGTAAAAGTCTAAAGTTCATTGAGGACTCCAGAGAATTTTGTAATACTGAGAAAGATGTCTGTGCTTTCAGCTTGTGAATTTGTTCAAAGACTAATCTGAAAATGAAATTTCCCTTCCCCCCAAAACCCCCAAAACTTGAAGCACTGGAATTTCCCTATCTTACTTGGAATAAAATCAGAAAGTATGACTTAAGTTTTTTAAACATACGGGGATTCCTGATCTCTGAAGCATTGTGTCCTTCCCAATTGCCTCTGTCTGCATTGATGCTCTTGTGAAACTTCCATTTTTAACACCACCTGAATTGCATCTCATGACATCTGTTGCATTTACTACAAATCCTCAGTTCTGTGCATGTGCTTTTAAATACAATAGATACAGATAAGTGATTTCTGTAGTGAATGGCTTTTTGTCTTTGTCAGCCCTAAGCTTGTTGATTATAGCAGTGAGGGAAATGGTGAGGAGCCTGGGTAGCCTGTTAATCTGCTGATGGTATTATCTTTGTTTTTTTGCTTTTAGATATGTGCTATTTGCTTAGTCAATATTTCCTGGATGGGGAGGATTGTATGAGCACTTCCTCTTGCACCAGTAAATAGATTGTAAGAGGAAGGTTTCATCATCTACAACCATCAGATTCTTGCTCTTTATGGAGAAGCCTTTTTAAAGTCAAATAAAAAGAGGGGAGAAGGGGTCGGTTTGGATGCAGACCACGTGCTAATGTTAGGTTTGAAAAGTGGAGTGGGGGTGGCCAAAGCATATCCCTGGAGTGGGACTGGTGGGGAAATATGGGAAACGCTTCCAGTGCCTTTTATGTGCTGAAACTTTTGTCATTACAACCTCAGAACACAAATGGCTTCCTGACCTGAGCTTAACTGCTGCTGCTAGGATTAGCCCAGGGAAAGGTTTAGAAATACAGTCTCTGTGTTTTATAACAGTGATGTCAGAGCTCACCAATACACAAAGCCAAAAGTAAAGCTGTTCAGGAAAAATATGAGCTTGGGATCCTTCCAAAGGAAGGAGGATCTTTACACCCTAGCTAGCAGGGCTTTGTGCAAACACTAACAATTAAACACATTGACCACCAAGAAGGTGTTTTGGTACAGGATCGCTCAACAGAAACACTGCTTGTAGTGGAAGGATGAGAGCATCTGCAGTGGGTGGTGAGGTCCCCTGCCAGCTGTGGCTGGTGGAGGCTGGGTACACATCTGGGGCAGGCAGATGTTGGATTGCAGTGTGATGGGGTGTTTCGGGTTCGGAGGGCCAGTGTGCCTGGGGGCTGAAATAGATGAGTGGTGGCAGGGAGGAATCCTCATACCAGCCCTGTTTTGTCCCAGGCTTCTTGTGAGCTCTGAGTTTTCAGGTTGGCTGCGTGAGGAACTGTGGTTTCTTCTGGTCTTCAGAAAGCACTTTGGACCAGAGAAATCCACGACTCTCGCTGCAAGGAATTGCCCTACTGGGCAGGGGGCGGTCGTCTCCAAATAGGGACCACTTAGGGAAAGTTTGTTCCCACCTAGACCGTCATGCTGAGATCTACTGTCACCTACAGCCTTTTCTAGGCCCCTCTGTGTTTAACTTGATGCTCATTTATGACCTTTTGGAAGCACCTGTGGGTGGTTTGCGTCTGCACAGCATCTCTCTGGCAGGGTTGGCAAGGTTTTTTTGTATTGATATCTTATCTACTTGTGGTCGAGAAGCTGACATATAGGCAGGGATCTACCAGAGTCCCCTTTCAGGTGCTGTTATGCCCCATGAGGTGCCAGCCTGCCCATCAATGTCCCAGAGGAATGAGCAACCCAATCTCTCAAGTCCCGGCTTGGAGGCAAGCATCAATTCCTGCAGCACCGAGCAAAGGAGTGAGCTGGCAGCAGGCAGACAGCCTGCCCGCCCAGCAGAAAAAGCTGGCTGGTGGGATATCTTTCACGCTGCTGTGTTGGGACCATGCAGAGTGACTCTCCCTAGCACATCTCTGTTAGCCAGGGTTGCACCATTTGATGGTTGTGCTCTTCCCTAATGAGCCTTGTGCTCTGCTGTTAAATGTGGCCTCTCTGTGATGCTGTCTTGTCTTCTGCTTAGCTAAAATTTAGCACCGGCATCCTGAGAGCATCTTAAAATGAGCACTTAGTGCTGCGTTTTATCTGCTAACTTGGTAGGTGATGTTTCCCATGGCACAGGCAGCAGTTATACAGGGAGAGAAGGCTCCTTGTTACTTGGTTGCTGCTCCTTGGCTCTGTAGGAGCTGGTGTTAAAAGTGAGCCTCCCCTTTGGCTTGAAAGTGATTTTTCTCTCTGTGTTCTTGTTTGTCGGGGCACGAAGGAGCTGTGAGGTTTAGCAACATTTCAGCTTTCATTTATTCAGTGGTTGTGAAGTGTTTGCTTGCCTTCCTGTCTCAGCCAAAGAGTTCTTGCACAGGAGCCTCTTGTGCAAAGCTCTTCCCTAATGGCTTGACGTGAAGGGCTGCCTTGCAGGTGGCTCCATGTGCTGACTTGCCCTGTCTGTGTGCTTCTCTGGTGTGGATAAGTCGATGTAACTCATGCCTGTGCTGCTCTTGTGCTTGGGTCCTCTTCTGCAGACACGGCTGGCAGTGCCCCTAGTTTTTCCCCTTGTCTTTCCACACTTGCCACTTTCTCTGTTGTCTGGCTAGGAAACCAAGTGTCTGAGAGATACATAGTCCTTGAGCAGAGGGAGTAGAGAAAATGGTCTTGGTTTCTGTTTCAGCTGTCAGCCCAGCTGCATGCTGTTGGTTTGCCCTGAAACTGGTTGGGCTGCTGCTGTGCACTGGTGCTTTTGGTTGTGATTCTGCTCACCCGCCTTGGAAAGGGGATGCTCACTGTCTCTCTAACCAGCGTGGGAACATGGGACTGAGGCATTTCTAACCAAAATCTGGGTGAGGGATCAGGGAAGAGAAATGTTTTGCGTTATGGTCAGCTGAGGTGACCTACATCCATCTGAAGTCCATGGACAAAAGTAATGTCTTTGTCTTCTCTCTCCCACTTTAGATCACAGACAGAACTGAGTTGCTGAACCGCTCAATAAAGAAAAGGTATTTCTGGGGTTGACCTTGGGGTAAAGCAGGTCCCTTCCTGCAAATAGAGGATGCTGGAGGGCCCTGCTGTGGGGAAGGGCAGGAATGACAGGCTGCCTGTGGCCCTCAAAGTCCTCCTTTCCTCTTGAGGCACTGGGGGATCGCCTTAATCCTCTTCTCTCCTCTGCTCCTCAGTAACAGCATAAAGAAAACTCAGCCTCCCCTCCCTGTGTCGAAGATTGATGACAGGCTGGAGCAGTACACACAGGCTATTGAGGTGGGCTGCTGTGTTGTCTCTGTGTCCCCGCTCCCCAAGGAGCCCTCTTTGCTGGGCGTTCCTCTCCCACTGTGCCTCTTAGTCTTACCATCTGGGAGGTGACAACTGAATCGTTTCCCTTTGGGTGGCAGCAACGCTTTCTCTTGTCTCTATCTCTCTCCACAGTATAAAGTAGGTTTCTTTAGTGAGCTGTCCCATCCTTGTTTCCTCATGTTCCTTGCTTAAAGGGTGGAAGTATCTGGGAGGAACTAGCAAGACCCTACAAGTCTCCTTTTACAGCCCCTCATCCCTGAGGACCTCCAATTATGGGGGGGGGGGGGGGGGGGGGGAAAAAAAAACAACAATC